GCAGTGCGGCTTGGGAGGGGGTCACTGTGCACTTTTGCCACTTCATCAAGCCATCAAGAAGAGATCCGCGTAATATTGTAAAGATGATGCCTAGATGGAGAGCTTTCACTATGACCCCTAGATGCTGGTTTTTACTACTATCCATAGATGTAGGTTTATTATGAATTCGGTAAAAACGCCATGACGCGAAGTTGGCACCAGTGTCAAAAAAATATATGTCATCTTCGTAATTATAACGTCAAAAACCCCGAAAGACCAAACTTCCGCGTAAAAGTTTAAAGTCATAGCTGTTGAATAAGAGAGAAAGAAAGAATTCGGAGGTGATTTCCAAGAAAAGAAATCGCTTACTTGTGAACCAAAACTTATTCGGCTTCCCATGAGGGTCGTACGGTGCCTCATACTGTTTTTCTTCTCCTTCCTGATCTTTCAGCTGTGAAAACTCGCTTCGGGGCCATTCTTTCGGATTTGGATAAATCGTATGACGCAAAGCATTATCAGGATCGTACTCGAAACCAACACCGCATGTGGGATTCCATTTGGCGTGCTCCTTGCCAAAACCCTGGAAGTAAGAACTTTCTCTGCTCGAGTTGGCTGCTATAAACCCCCTCACTTGATTCTTTGAGGAGAACGTTGAACTTGCTTGTTAACGGATTACCTTTTTGGCGTAACATTTGAGATTGATTTCTTGCCCTTTTCTCAATTTCACTATTAAGATATCTTCATGCTGGCCGTATTCATCGCTGAAATGCACGCCACGATTCTTCAAATGAGTTCCACAAGCTGGAAATACCTGAAACCGCGACAATGACGACAGATCGTACCTGGCTCTTTCTCGAATGGAATTTCAGGCACTATTTACCCTTTACTGCCCCAATCTTCCAAAAACGGGCCAGTTTTTGACCGACTTTTTTCTGCCTTGGCAGAATTGGCTGAAAATTTGTCCCTGGGGTAGTTTGACCTCCTGAACATGAATATCACATCCGCTAGGCACGAAACCTCCTGGCGCCCGCGCCACAGGCGCCGGCGCCAAAATACCCTAAATTGCCTTAAAAGACACTATGGTTAATCGTCTCATACACATTGAGGTGTATAGACTATCAGAACCCCCAATGGCGACGTGTTCGATGACCCCCCCCCAACACACTGCCAGCGGAATGGAGTATACCAGACGCATAGCGAAAACTACGCTCCTCCATGCTCACGCGAACAATGCCTTTTTTACGGCGAGAATTCCCGCCGGTTCATAACATGCCGTTGCAAGCAGCGCCTCTGTCCCGCGTGCGGCCCTCCTTGGCACTTTGCCAAGTCTTTAATTGCGCTCTCAAATACGAGTAAAACGCAATTTCCTGATGCGGATAACATTGGAGGTGCTACAAAATAAGAACAGAAGATGATGACAAGGCGCCAGAAACTCCAAGGAGCAATCTCGCTGCATCATGCAGTATCCATCAAGGGCACGCGCGCAAATTCCCGTACCAAAACATGAAAATCAAACGCCCAAGGTCCCACTCGTTTGTTCCAAGTATTTCTATGGCTTTGGCGCCGGATCGTAGAAATTTACAGGCAAGTTTATCTAATTTGCCTTTCCTTGATTTTTTCATTTCTTGTAATTGTTACATTTACTATCTTGTTCCTTCATTTCTAGCCACAACCCAGCTGTGTCATCTTTCATCTCCCTGTACATTGGCATCTGTAGAAGCATGCAGGAAACTCAAAATTTTTATTCACATCTAGGAAATGCGTCTTGCTCTGTGATTAAACTAACCGAATATGCCGTTTTTTATTTTCTGTTTCGTGGAAATACCGTTGGCCCTCGCGAGGATTTGCTGAAAGGGCACAGTGCTTTTAAGTTCTGACCCCTCGCCGTACATTCTTCTGTTTTATTTTTGTAGCCACCGTCCAATGTTAATCCGCATAGGAATAGGCGTTTCCTTGATTTGAGGAGAGCAATTAAAGGCACCTGGCAACAGTGCCCAGAGGAGCTCGCACGCACAGCGCAGGCTTTGCAACGGATGTTATGAACGGCGGGAATCTGCGCCGTAAAAAGGCAGTGGGCGGAGCATGGAGGAATTAGCGTGTTTCACGGCCCTGTATCTCCATTCCTGGGCATGTTTGGGCGGGGGACCACGACACATCGACATCTGGGGGCTGATAGTCTCATACACCCTCAATGTGTATGAGCGTACCATGTGTCTTTAAATCACCGAATCCGGTGAAAACTTGTTCTGAGAGGTAGTCTGACCTTTTCAACCCGAATATCACATCCGCTCGGCATGGAGCCTCCTGGCGCCCGCGTTACAGGCGCTGGCGCCAAAATACCCTAGATAACCGGCGCCTGTGACGCAGGCGCCAGGAAGTTTAGGGCTAAGCGAATGTCATATTCGTAGTCAAGAGGTCAAAATACCCCAGGAAGCAACATTTGAGCCAAATCTGTCCATGGAGAAAAAAGTCGGTAAGAAACTGGCTCAATACTGGATGGTTGGAGCAGTAAAGGGTAAATAGTGCTGAATTTCACAACTGAAGTGAGTGTGAAAATTAAGTTCCAGTTCCCGAAAATCAACCGGAGGAAAAAAGAGGTTGAGATTTCCCTCACTGAAGTTTAAAAGACCCTTCCCTTCAATAAGCTTTTCAGCAAAAAAGCAGCATGCCTTCACTCGAGAAACCCCTCGACTTTAGCCTAGGCGCCCGTGAATAGAACAGAAAGAACGGCACTATTCAACTATTACTACCCCAGTTTTCCGAAAACGGGCTGGATCTTGATCGACTTTTTCTGCGGGGCAGATTTGGCTGAAAGTTGGGTTCTAGGGGTAATCCGACCTGCTGAACACGAATATCACATCCGTTCCTCCCGAAAATGCCTGGCGCCCGCGCCACAGGCGCCGGCGCCAAAGTACCCTGGATCACCAAATCCGCTGAAAACTTGTACCCAGGGGTAGTTCGACCTCCTGAACACGAATATCACATCCGCTCGGCCTGAAACTGCTCGAAGATCGCGCCACGGGCACCGGCGCCAAAATGCCCCAATACGCTGGCGCCTTGGTCGCGATGCGCTCATGCACTTTCAGCGCAGCTGGTTCGTTTCAAGAGGTCGAATTACCTCTATAACCCGAATTTCAGCCAAATCCGCTTTCGTAGAAAAAAGTCGATCAAGATCCGCCCTGTTTTGGCAAAACTGGGGTAGTAATAGTTGAATAGTGCGAAGAACTTACCGAGCTACTGTACTTCTCCGTCTTACAGACAAGATCAGCTGTCGTTACCGATCGAGTGGCCTCTTCCTTACACTTGACATTGAGTCGAGAAGAGCACTGAGCAGGCATCACAGAATTCTGTGCACTGACACTCCTGAACAGAATCCTCATGATCTGTGAAACTCATAAATCAGGGGTAACTCTCTGTCACAAGGTAAAGGATAGGGTGACTTTCTGCGATAAGGGTAAAGGGTGAAGTCCCGCGGTTAACCAATCCCTTTTGGGATTCGGTACGCATTCTACATCCCAATCGTCACAATCGTAGGGGCTTAACAAATGCGATGTGGCCTAACTGTAAAATGCAGGGGCCAGCCGACGTACAAGTCAGTGCTCTTATCCTCCTAGATAAATATGGTACTCTCCTCATCATTACCTGTCGGGACTATCAGCTAGTAGGATTGGCACACTGTTTTGAAGCCGTTGCGCGAACCTTTTTTGTTGAAACGCGTCCATGGCGACGAAGTGGTAGAGAAAACAGTAATTCAAGATATAATCTCGTACGTGGTCATTTTGCTCGCTTTCAAAAACTAGTGCAGAATGACTCTGGCACGCGAGAAACGCCGCCGCCCCCCCCCACAGTTCCGAATTGATGAGGGAAAGTAAGTAGTTTCGCAGGCCGTCCTTGGAAGGAGAAGTTCTTATGTTGGGCCCAGGCGGGAGCCGATCCTGGCGTTTGACTCACCCGAGCGGGTGCGCTTTGGCAAAGCAATCCACTTGTTTACTTACGGCACCTGCCTTCTCTCAATTTTCTGTTGAGAGTATTATATTTAGGTCATCCCATTCAAAGACGTGCCGCTACACCTCTAGCAGGACTGGCAGAAAGCAAAGGGGATAGAGCAGCGGGCTACTATACCATTTGGAAGCTAGTACCTTAAGCTGTGTATCTGTGAAATTTGGCGAACCTAGCCCCAGAAGAAGTTCTCGAGAAATTGAAAAGAAGCCCGAGTGGTGAAAATCGGCGCCGGTTTTTCAAATCAGGTGTCATAACAGGAAAGTGCGCTGCTCAAATTTGACCTGCGCCGGACCATAGTTGTGTGTAAGGGTGTTCTCGAAATACACGGTGGAAGATTTGGTTCAGGAGCCCGTACAAGGAAGAAAGGAAAAAATTTGTTGTCGTGGATGGTCCCATAATATCCATCCTGCACAAGAAAAA